GCAGAGGGAGGGGGCCAGGTGTGGGCCACGGGCTCCACGGGGACCCGGGGCTGGAGGGCTCGCAGCCGGGGAGCGGAGGGCCTCCCGCTCAGCCGCGCTCAGCAGTGGGGAGTCTTGTGACCCCTCCCAGGTTGCTGGCCAAGGGAGCAGCTGGGTCCCTCCTTGTCCCGTCTAGCTTTGGGGTCCACGATGCTCCGATCTCTGTGGAGCCCCCCAGCTTCTCCTCTCCCCACCCGGGCCCCCTGCACGGCAGGCCTCTTTGTGGCCTCCTCCCAGCTGTTTGGGAGGTGGGTGGGGGGCTGACCACTAGGCCATTTGCCCTGGGCTGTCCCTGTGTTAAAAGAAGTCCTGCCCGGCCGGCGTGGCTCAGTGACTGAGCATCGACCTATGAGCCAGGAGGTCACGGTTCGATTTCTAGTCGGGGCACAGGCCCGAGTTTCCAGGTGGACCCCCAGTTTGGGGCGTGCAGGAGGCTGCCGATCAATGATTCTCTCTCATCACGGATATTTGTAGCTCTCTCTTCCTCTCTGAAATCAATAAAAATATATTTAAAAAAACAAAACACTGCCCTGGCCAGTTTGGCTCAGTGGATAGAGTGTTGGCCTGAGGACCGAAGAGTCCTGGGCTCAATTCCTCCCTGGCCCGGCCCTGGTCAGGGCGCTGCAGGAGGCAACCAATGGATGCGTTTCTCTCACATGGATATTTCTGTCTGTCTGTCTTTCCCTCTCTCTCCCATTGTCTCTAAAAATCAATGGAAAAATGCCCTCGGGTGAGGATTGAAAACAAAACGAAGCCCTGAGCTCCTGCACGCAGGCCCCGGACGTGGTGCGGGTGTGAGGGGCTCACCCTGGAGCTGCGTGATGGTCTTCAGCTCCTGGATCTGCTCCTCCACGTCCCCCCCTTCGCTCCACATCTTCATCGTGGCCGCAGGCCCCGGCCTCCACCCTCCCTGTGCTGGGCCTGCTCAGCAGGACAACAGTTCAAATTGTCCCCGGAACCTCGGCCCATTGTGATGGGGGCCAAGGTTCTAAAGCCCCGGGCCCAGCACCACCCTCTGTCCCCAGTGAGTCCCGTGGCTGCTCTGTTTGGGGGCGTGGCCGGGGCCAGGCACCTTCCCCCACGGGTGGGAGACTTGGTGGTGTTTTGGCAGGGCCCCCCCCACCTCCCATCCCCTTCCCTGTCTTCCCAACCCTGACCACTCACCCCCCAAGTTCACACTCCACGCTCCAGTGACCATGAGACCCCCGGCCTCGGCCCCCGCTGCCTCCACTTCCCCCAGGAGTTCCCCAGCCAGCTTTATTTATTTATTTATTTATTAAAACCTATTTTATTTTTGTTTGCTAATCCTCACCTGAGGATATTTTCCCATGGACTTTTAGAGAGAGTGGGAGGGAGGACGAGGAGGAGAGAAACATCGTTTGGTTGCCTCCCATACAGGCCTGAGCAGGGCTGGGCGGGGATCCAGCCTGCGATCGAGGTGTGAGTCCTTGACGGGAATTGAACCCGGGTCCCTTCAGTCTGCGGGCCGATGCTTTATCCACTGAGCCACACCGGCTAGGGCCCGAGTCAAGCGTTAGATGTCACTCCAGGAAGGGTCAGTCTCCCATCTCTGCACCCCCGGCCCAAGGTTCCCCAGAGCCACGAGCCCCAAGCACTGGACAGCTGGGACCCCAGGAGGGGCAGCGCCCACCGAATTTGGTTGTTACTTGTCCCAGCTGCCCTGTGTGACTCCGCTAGGATCGCCCTAACAAAACACCACGGACAGCGGCTTAAACAACAGACATTCATTGTCTCAGGTCCTGGGGGCTGGATGTCTGAGATCTAGGTGTGGGCAGGGTTGGCTCCCCAAGGTCCTGCAGTGGCTGCCTCCCCTGCACCCCCACACGGCCTCTTCTCTGTGCCCATCTGTGTCCACATCTCCTCCTCTTATAAGGGACCCGTCAGATGGGATCAGGGCCCACCCTCATTTCACTTTATTATTTATTTACTAGAGGCCTGGTGCACGGAATTTGTGCACTGGGTGGGGGTGGGGGTCCCTCAGCCCGGCCTGCGCCCTCTCGCAGTCTGGGACCCCTCTCGCAGTCCGGGATCCCTCTCATGGTCCAGGACCCCTTGCTCCTTACTGCCCGCCTGCTTGCTGCTCCTTACCACTCCACGTTGCTCCTCAGCGCTGCCACCTGGGAGGCAGGAGAGGCTCCCACTACCACCACTGCCCTCGCCGGCTGTGAGCCTGGCTTCTGGCTGAGTGGCACTCCCCCTGTGGGAGCACACTGACCATCAGGGGAAGCTCCTGTATTGAGCATCTGCCCCCAGGTGGTCAGTGCTCATCATAGCGACTGGTTGTTCCACTGTTTGGTTGGTTTGCATATTAGGGTTTTATTATATAGGATTTTTAGTTGTCACCCGAGGATATTTTTCCATTGACTTTTGGGAAGAGTGGAAGAGAGAGGGAAAGGCAGAGAGAAATATTGATGTGAGAGAAACACATTGATTGGTTGTCTCTTGCACGTGCCCTTGACCAGGGCCTGGGACGGGGAAGAGCCTGCCTCTGAGGTATATACCCTTAACTGGATTCGCACCGGGGACCCTTTGGTCCACAGGGTGACTCTCTATCCACTGAGCCAAACCAGCTAGGGCCCACCCTCATTTTAACTTCCTCCCCTTCTCAGAGGTCCAATCTATAAATGCATTGTGTTCTGAGGTCCTGGGGTTAGGGCTGCAATGTGTGAATTTGGGGGGACACGGTTCAGCCCTAACCATGGTCTCCACCCATCTTCCTCCAGAACCTCTTGCCTTTCTGGCCACTCCCAGTTTTAAAAAAGTGCATCCAGTCAGGTCTGACCCCCGACCCTCTGCCCTCCCTCGCAGCCAGGCGTTACCCTTGGGGAGACGGAAGGCTCCCAACCAGAGTCCGAGGCAGAGCCTGGCTACTGTCCCCCAATATTGGTTCTCCCTTCTCGCTCAGATATAGAATTGTAGTGGGGGCGCACGGCTGCCCAGAGCAAGGCTGCCCTCCTGGGTGCCTCTGCACAATGTTCAGGACTTAGTTCGGCCAGTGCAGTGCGAGCAGAACGGTGAGTGAACTGCTCTCTTCCTTCCTGTTGACTGGGATGAAGCCGCGATGGCCGGAGCTGGCACAGCTGCCTGGGGCCATGAGGTGGATTTGGAAGAGAGGCCTTTGCAGCAGGGAATGGACTAAAAGGGGCCCAGCCCCTGACCCTCAGCTCCCGGCCCCCCACTGGGACTTTTACAGGAAGGAGACTCTAGGTGGCTTCTGCCATGGTTTCCTTGGGCTTCCTTCACTACCTGTCCATCAAGAGTCCTGGCGCATAGTACGTGCTCAGCAGGTATTATTTTGAATGACCGGCCAGGCGGAGAGGCACGGGGGCTGACCTGGCTGTGTGCCTTCAGCGAGGCTGGGGAGCCAACCGCAAAGGACCACGGACTTGCCCGGAGTTGACAGAATCTCTGCCTCTTCCTGATGGGGCGGGGAGGTGGCTCGTCTTGCCCACTCGTGAGCTTCCCTTCTGTGGGGAGAGCTCCGGGAAGCTAGTCGGCACCCCTCCGCCCCCGGAGAGCGGTGACTTCATCTGACATGTGTGTTTGGGACGCCGGGCGGGTGGGCACAGCCGGGTCCTGCCCCGTGTCCCTCGGGACCAGGTGCTGTGGGCTGTACACCTGGTGGTCTGCTCCTCCGTGCCAGGTTGTATGGAAACATCCCCCCCGCCCCCCATGGAGAGGCCTCACTGCCTTACAGGGCGGGTTCGGGAACTGCCTGGCAGAGCCTCCAGGAGCAGCCGCGTGGGCACGGAGGTGACACCTGTCTCCCAGCTTCTTCCTGCTCTTGCGCCCCAGTCGCTGTAGAACTCGGTAGGAAGAGCAGGGCGTTTATTAGTCCCACAGCCCAGCAGCACCTGTCCCCCTGGCCCTGGGGGATGCGCGCCCCGAAAGGGAGTGTCCGTGCCCCCGAGTGCAGAGTCCTCTCACCACGCGCCCCCAGGGTGCGGGCAGGGCCTCCGGAGCGGGGAGGGCCAGCCTGGGGTGCGAGGTGCTGAGCGCTGTGTTCTAGAACTCTCTGGGCCCAGGTCCTGTGCGCCTGGCTGGAGCTCTCCTAGGTGCGCGGATCTGTAAGAGGCAAACAGACAGGTCACACCCTGAAGTTGCTCACGGTCCCTGCACCCATTTTACTGTGGCAAAGACGGAGGGCCTCGAACCAGGATGCAGGCAGTGGAGGCCAGGACCGAGGCCCGTCCGCTGGCTGGCTGTTGCCCAGCCCCTCAATCCAGCCGTCTTCGTGGGGTGTCCACACGCCTCTCTCTGCACTCCCCCCACCCAACCCCTCCTGGGGGGTCCTCCTGCTCACGGGGCTGGAAGTTCTGTCTGATGCACTCACTCCTTCTCTGGGAAGTGCATGCTGGGGGCACGGCAGGAGGCGAGAGACCCCATCCAGCCTCCACTCCAGCCCCAGGTTTGCCTGCCTAAACCTCCGGGAACCAGGGGCAAGGCTTCCGCCCCCCACTCCCCGGCCTCTCACCTGTGCCCATGTCCGTGGGGAGCTTCCCCGTCTCCAGGAAGAGCCAGAGGTCGCTGCACTTCTGGGTCTCCACGCGGGTCACCCAGTAGCTGGCCACGGAGCCTGCAACTGGGGGGCAGAACGGGCGGGGCTGGGGGCTGGGCCTCTGCTCTTCTCAGAGAAGGACCGTGGGCACAGGATCCTCTGGGCAGATGGTGGTGGTGGGCGTGGGCAGGGCTCCCTGGGAACTGGGGCCCCATCCCCGGGGCAGGGATGCCTGGAACACAGCCCCACGCCCCCGGGGCTCTTAGTGGGACCCACTCCTCTGAAGAGCCAGAGTCGCCCCCGGCAACCTGGGGCCCAGGCAGGGAGGACCCACCCACGGCCACCAGGACGGTCCACTGGAAGGGGTACTTCAGCCTCCTCTGCACGGACATCTGCAGGCCCAAGGCCGCCCCGGTGCCTGCAAGAGACAGGCCTGTGGGCAGGCTGGCCAGGCGCCCAGCACCTGCAGGCGCTACCTGCTGGAGAGGCAGGTGGGGACAGGAGGGCGCGGGCTGTGCACGCTGAGCACCCGGCCCGGCCTACCTGTGACGAAG